AAAATTAATCCTTCTAATTTTTTCTATAAAAAGCTCAATTTTAAGTCATTTTGGTTCCAAAATGCAAGACCAAGAACATATCAACAGATCCAACCCCGATAACATGAACATGAACACCTCAAATTTCCTTGTTGTGACTCGTCCACCGTCACCGCCATTGCAACTGCACCACCTCATCCACCATCACGGCCGCTACCATCGCCGCCTATTCCTTTATCTTACCCGTAACCCTGCAAGTATAGATATACACCCACCTCATTGCAGGCCATCAGTGCCTCTAAACAATTATTAATAATCAATTTCCTTAATAATCTCTCTCTAGAGATCTCTCGAGAGAGATCCCTCTCTCAAATAACCCATCAAAATATATATATATATATATATATATATATATATATATATATCTAAAAGTATAAGGGTAGTTTAGTCATTTATCCTAACAACTTAAGCGAATTTCAGTAAATTAGACAGGTATGTTCGTCCATTTGATAGTCTATCACTAGGAGGAGAGGTATGTGTAAATTAGTTTTATTTTTAAAGGAGGACCAAGTAATTTCCTAAACCATAGAGGAGGTCTTTATAATTATGTCAAACTATACGGAAAGTCCGTGTAATTTCTCCAATAAACAAATGTCAATATATACTCAATTTAAAAAAAATATATAGGATCTTTTGTTTTTTAACACTAACAAGTTAGTTTTGTACGCAAGAAAAATTAAAAGTTGCCGGCCATAAACACTACTATAGTATGCAAATAGGATATATAACCTATGTAGATTCTTAAAAATTCATAATTTCTATTTTTGGTGCAAACAATGACTTATTCATAATTTTTATTTTTGGTGCAAACAATGACTTTTTGTGGGTGGAGTGATTAAAAGATTAAAGTATCCTTATGTATTTGAAAGAAAAGAGTAAAAAACAAAATAAATGTAAAATAACTAAAGTACCCTAACAAAAAAGACATCTTATGGAAAGATTAAAAGGGCAATTTAAGAATTCTCATACTTAATATAGGCATGTATATGACTTAATATAGGCATGTATATCGTGCATGACTACTTAAATGTAATTTTGTGACATATTATACAAGTTAAGCTCTTATTTATTCATTTCTGAAAAGTTAACATATTTATACAACTTTAAAAAAAAAAAAAAAAATTAGACGTGTTATCTGTCCAAATTTTAAACATTATAAATGCTCTTTCTTTGGCTTTACCCTAAAATAAATACTAGAAGACGGTTTCAATGACCAAAATTAAGTCTAGGAGAGAGAAAGAGGGGGGTGAGATAGAGAGCATCTTGGGTGAACGTGACAAGACATGGTTTGTTTTCGACTGCTTTATTTCACGCGGACAGAATTTAGTGAGGTTAGGAGTTGCAGAAAACTGGCCATGAAGAGTTTTAAATAAGGGGGCACTTTAATGGTGTAGTGTCTCTCTCTCTCTCTATCCGTGCTTGCAAGAGAAAGAGAAAGACGACTCCGTCTCTGAAGAAAAAGGGTAAGGAGTTCAAAGACCTTTTGCTCTCTCATGCAATACCAGGACAGACAGTCCTCTGTAGTCGCTCTCAGTTGGGTTGCTATCCATGATTTACTTTTTCTGATCCTGTCATCTTATTTAGATTGTGTTTGGATTTTGTATTCTATGTAATTTACCAAACTACCCCTGCTTCAGATTGTTCTTTATACTGGTAATGTTTGCATTGACAAGAAGAAAGTACCGGATATCCGGGGTATGACTATGCAATGTCAGTCAATGATCATTGATAAGTAACTATTTCTCGTTATTAATGAGAGAAATAGTGAAAATTCATTGATCAATATACTTAGAGTCGGTGTCCTCAAATTAATTTGAATCTCGAAATAATCAGAGTAACGTTGCGTCTTTATATTGTCGATTTAAATAAATACTAAATTACGTTTTTATATTATCAATTTAAATAATTGAAGATACTAACTTACGATAAACTTATGATATCATATTTGTCTCCTTCATTTTTTACCACGGCATTGGCACATGACAAATCAACTTCATACTTCAACAAGCTCATGAAAAGAACTACTCAAAATTTTAACTTTTAAATATTTTGATCACATGGTATCAGTTGTTTTGGCACTTGGGTACAATCACAAATTTCTTAGGATTCTCTATATAAGGTGAGACTCGAGCATGTACAAATTTCAGGTTTTTTAGAGTATGTCAAGGTGGGACAAGAGGATTGGACAGGCCAATGGTCAGCTTGAGCAAAGCCCTAGATACTGACTACTTAGCCCGGACCAAACCCTAGCTCTTTATTCTATTGATGATATTGAGCTAAAATCTGCAGCTTAGTTCCCTTTTTAATAGGGTTAAAAGGGTGGTCTTCCAAGACTGATCTAATAGCAATCTAGAGTAGCATTGATTTGGCATGGCTCAACTTATTAAAAATATTAACCTCCAAAGATGCGCTATTCGCTCTTACTTTTGCTCACATTCTTATTCTATCACCTAAAGTTTGACTCTTTCACACTCTCACTTTTGAATTCGTTTCCAATCATGTTCCCGGATTTAGATAGTCTCTGTACAAAAAATAATAACTTGATAAAAAATTGATGAGGAGGAATCACTGTAAAATTGATTGATTAATTTGATTACAAATCTGTATAAAGATCCACTAACACAAATAATTAGAATAAAACCACATCTAATAGCTAGCCTAAACTTTTTAAAGACATATATGGTGTGGTGTCCCAATGGTAGAGGGCACAATGGTCCTGGAACAGGTAAAGAGACTTGAAGTAACCACATTAGTTATAAAAGGTCATTGACAGGGCCTATTTAAAGCAGACAAACAGGAGTGTAGTAGTAGACCACCAACCATTCCCCATCTGTTTCCCACCAAAAGTTGTGAAAATGAAAGAAAGCAATTTGTGATGAGGCAGCAAAGAGGCCCTTTTGCTAGGGCATGAACTATTATTGGCAAAATACAATTAGCCTTTAGTGGTTGAGTGGATTTACTCATCATTACTTCAATCAAAAGAGGTCTCTATTCCTCCATATTTTCTCCATCCTTAGTACATCATCTCTTTCCATCCCACAATTCCCTTCTCTTTTCAAACCAAATCATTCACACTGGAAAATCTGTCTCCTACAAACTTTCTCATGCAAAATTTGTATCCAAACATGATGAGATTAATATAAACTTGAAGCTCCATATCATGAAAAGTGCACCAACCTCAATACTGATGGCAACGTTAATTGCCATGTCTGAGTTTAGCACAAAGGTTTCAGAAAACGCCTGCGAAGTGAGTAAAAATATGGTCTTGAGAGTGTTGCATGAGGTACACTTATGTGCTAATCAAATCTATGAAAAATTGAATTGATTTTTTATTTTTTTTAGTTAGACAAGTGCTCACACACATTTTCAGAAATTTTCCTCTACAATCTCCAGCCCCCTTCGGGTAGAAAAAATACCATATGACTAATGGCTTATTGGTAACATTTAATTCAAATTACTAAAACATAAGATAACCTTGAAAGAAGTTCGAAGGATTGGAAGACAATGCCCATAGCATATGGCATAAACCCCTGGCCCCAGTAATCAAGACAGCGCACGTGATTTACTTGATGATTGGATCCTAAAGATTTAAAAAGCCAAAATTAACCTAGACTATGTTTGAGAGCGTTGAATGAGCAGATTGTATTTGAAATTGTAAGAAACTTATTTAAAATTTTGAATTGAAGTTTTTGTGATTTAAAATTCAAAATATCGATTTGGTACTCCCAAACACAATATTAACAAAGTGCAAACCTACACATCAAATTGTGAATTGAGTTTTTGAAGTGTAATTATATAATTTTATTTATCAAAAAATCAAATTTAATATCAATATCATTTCATTTATATATTTATTCTGTTCAACACGAATATTTATTTTCTGTAACAAAAATAATAATAAAAAAATAAAAGAAAAAAGAGATTCCCTTCTATTGTCTTATGCATTTCTATCTACAGTTAATACTCCATGGTCCATACAATGCTCACTCACCAAAAATAAAAAAGACAGACATGAAACGGCGTCGCTTGGAACTGCATGTCTACAGATTTAACAGCAGTACGGTAGAAAAGAAAAAAGTAGGTGAAGTAGAGAAGGCTATGTACTGCGCCTATAAGGTCAATAGATTCGCAGTTTATCATCTCATCTGGCCGTGATATTTGTCTATCCATCTATCAATATTTAATCCCCTCCGAGACTGCGAACCTGAAAACTGTAAAATGTAAATCCACTTAATTCATGGAGTAATAATATAGCCCACCTTCCCTAATAGCCCGGATCCGCTGTTGTAGTGTCCTTGGTGTTGTAGCTGCTGCAATGTGTTTCAACACCTTTACATCTGTTTTTAACAGTCCAAACACGAATTTTTTTTTAACGCAGTTACATCTTTTCAACACATTATTTCAAGTTTCAATATAGTTTTTGTGTGTTGAAATATAGATGAGACGTTTGTTTTCTGGTCGTTGAAAAACGCTACACCAGCTACAGTACCAAAGGCTTTACAGCACAGGATCAGGACTCCCTCCCCTAACCCACCATTAGTCCATCAATTCCTACTTCCTAGAGATGGAGAGAGAGAGAGGATTTTCAAGTTTGTTTGGTACTTTAGTAACAAGATTTTATTTCTGGGCATTGAGCCGTCCAGTCCATTTAAGAAAATGAGGTCTCTTTCTTTCTCTGCCTTGTTTCAGGTGCTTTTTATCTTTAATTAAGCCAACGGTAGAACAAGAACTAGCTACTAGAATATACCACACAGATACAAATTTTAGATATATGTATATGTAGATGTGTACGTATAAATTTTTTTAAAAAAAGAAAAAGCAAGAAAGAAGAAAGACAAAGAAGTAGAGGAGGAAAAGCAAAAGAGAAGTCTTTCTCAAACACAGATCCCTATGAAATGCAGCAAGGATGCCCAGCATGGCTTGTTGGAACTCATTCTTTTTGTTTAAGTTCAAAGTAAATTGCTTTATTTATTCTCTATACAAATATTTTCAGAGAGAGAGAGAGAGAGAGCACTTTGTTTTAGATAAATGGTTTTTTCTTCTAACAGGTTCTGCAGCTAAAAAACAAAAGACCCCAGTTTCAAAATGGAGGGAAGCCAAGAGATTTTGGGATATGATTATTCATTTGTTTCCCAATGATTGAGTTGTCTAGCACCAAGAGAAACTTGTATAAATCTCTCTTGAGTGAGAAAGGGGATTGATCTAGAGAGAGAGAAAAAAAAAAAAAATGAAGTCCATGAGTGATCATGACAATAACAATGACAACAATAGCAACTGGTTGGGCTTCTCTCTCTCTCCTCACATGGATGTTCCTAGCTCAGACCACCACCCTCATCCTCCCTCGTCTAATGCTGTTTCTAGTGCAATTCCAACAACTTTCTTCCATTCCCCACCTCATTTCAACTATTCTGGCATCTATTATGGAGCTCAAGATGGTGAAAATGGTGGCTTTTACTCTCCCTTAACTGTCATGCCACTCAAGTCTGATGGCTCAGTCTGCATGATGGAAGCTCTCTCCAGTACCTCACAACTACAAGGTTAGCTTAAATCTTGCTCTCCATGACCCCCTTCTTCTTCTTCTTTTTTTCTTTTTTTCTTTTTTTGGGGTTTTGTTTTGTGACTTGGAATATTTGCTGAGTTCTCTGTGTTTGACTTTTTACCGTGAAGGGATGGTAACAAATGCAACTCCAAAACTGGAGGACTTCTTTGGTGCAACAATGGGGACCCATCACTATGACAACCATGACAGAGAAGCTATGGCTCTCAGCTTAGACAGCATGTACTACCACCAAACCCCAAATCATGAAGCTAACAGTCAAAATCTCTTAAACCATCTTCAACACAGCTCCAATACTCAGCAACAACACCACCAAAATCAAAATCAAGTCCAACAATACTCATATTTTTGCCAAACACCACTAGAGGGTGAGACTCAGAAAACACAGCTCCCAACAATGGCAGATGATGAAATGAAGAACTGGGTTTCAAGGAACTACCCAAATGGCCAGGGATTCGATATTGGGGACAATGGGGGAGAATCTGGGACGATTGGTGTAATGACCTATGGGGATTTGCAGTCTCTGAGCTTATCCATGAGTCCTGGTTCACAATCAAGCTGTGTTACTGGCTCACAGCAGATTTCACCTACTGTGACTGACTGTGTGGCCAGGGAAACAAAGAAGAGAGGGTCTGAAAAGGTGGATCAGAAGCCAATTGTTCATAGAAAGTCCATTGACACATTTGGGCAGAGAACCTCACAGTACAGAGGTGTCACAAGGTTGATGCTGTACCCATTTCTATAAAATCCCTTTTTCGTTTTTTTTTGTGTTTTTTGTTTTTTGTTTTTTTTCTGTTTTTTTTTTTTTTTTTTTGGGTTTGGTCTATAGCATTTCTTAAACACTTGTACAGAGTTTGTCTTTGTTTATTGAAACCTTGCTTTTATTTGTACAATGGCTATTTTTTGCTCTGTGATTTCCTCAGTTTTTCCTTTTTTTATTACTACATTTTGTTAAGGGTATACTCTGTTCCTTGTACAAATTTTCAGGCATAGATGGACTGGTAGATATGAAGCCCATCTCTGGGACAACAGTTGCAAGAAAGAAGGCCAAAGCAGGAAAGGAAGGCAAGGTTAGTGGTGCTAACATACTCCATCTCTATTATGCCTTTCACTTCACAGTTTATTTTTTATTTTTTTATTTTTGGGTAAGATTTACAAAATTTGGTTACTAACATTGCATGTTACACATTTCCATGATCTTGCTTGCTCTGGGTTGGCATTCCAATTCAAACATTGATTTTCAGTTTATCTGGGTAAGCCTTTTTTTCAATTTTAAGCATTGATTATTGCTGGCATTTAGTTTTCACTAGTCATTCACATATATTAATTCTCAGGAGGTTATGATATGGAAGAAAAAGCTGCAAGAGCTTATGATTTAGCAGCACTTAAGTATTGGGGACCTTCCACTCATATCAATTTCCCGGTAATGACTCGATTATTGTTGCACCTATTGATCTTTTAGTTTTAACTTTTAAACTGATGTGTAAGTGAAAATATTGAAGTTGGAAAATTATCAACAACAACTTGAAGAAATGAAGAACATGACCAGACAGGAATATGTTGCTCACTTGAGAAGGTAATTCTCAGAAATCTTTGCCTCTGTTTATTCTATATATATAGTAACTGCATTTCCATGTCTTTGTTGCATTACATATCTACTGTTTGATTTTGCAGGAAAAGCAGTGGATTTTCAAGGGGGGCTTCAATATACAGAGGAGTAACAAGGTAATGCTTCTTCTTTTATTTTTCTTTTTTTAATATAAACTACAGTTGCATTTAGATCCTTCTCTTCAAGAAAGATTCCCCTGGAATCAATGTTTCTGTTTTTGTTTTTAGCAGACATCATCAACATGGTCGATGGCAAGCTAGGATCGGCCGAGTAGCAGGAAATAAGGACCTTTACCTTGGAACATTCAGTGAGTCCTTTGAATCTTGATTTTTGTGTGTGTGTGTGTGTGTGTGTTCAATGCTTATCGTGTTTCTATGTTATCTTCCCTTACTCAATTTCTAAACAAGAGACGAAGGTTTCAAGTCCTCGTAAGGGCAAATAGATTAGTAGGAAATTCTAAACAAGAGACATTATGGGTGTGTTTCATGATTTAGGAAGGTGACTCTTTCAGTCCTTTGTACTCTTTTCTTGTCAGCTGCCTCACTAGTGATAGTAAGGCTGATAATGAACCATTCTTGTCAACAAGAACAAGCTTTTACAATAAGAAGTAGGGATCTTCTGATTTTACTTCCTGATCTAAGGCTTATTTTTGGGATTTCATGACTTATTATACACATGATTTATTATGAAAGTTAACATTGTTATATGCAGTAATTACCATGACTGATGACAAAGATATTAATTATGATTCACAAGAAAATAATTCATTAAAAAAGTGAATTCTGGTTCTAATTGAACTGCAATTTCAGGCACTCAAGAGGAAGCTGCTGAGGCCTATGACATAGCAGCAATCAAATTTCGCGGGGTGAATGCAGTAACCAACTTTGACATATCAAGGTATAATGTGGAACGAATCATGGAAAGCAGTACCCTCATTGCCGGGGAAATGGCTAGGCGAAACAATGGAATAGTATCCAGTAATGAGGTCTCTAATCACCACCCTTCAACTCAATACCACCATGGGGAAGCCAATCTCTTGAAAGAGAACAATGGAAGTGAATCGGATTGGCGAATGGTCCTCCGTCAGTCCTCTCAACCCGATGAGAAACAGGGTAGTGTTGAAAATTACAAGAGCACATCCTTCACAGTTGCAGCACATGATTTGATCGGGATCAATTCAATGAGCTCAGTTCAGCAAGAGGTGGATGACTCAGCCAAGACCGCGACTCACCTGTTGAATGCCTCTTCCTTATTGACAAGCTTAAACAGCTCAAGAGAAGGCAGCCCTGATAAGAACAGCTTGCCACTGCTGATTGCAACAACCCCATCACCATCCAAGTTCTTTGCTAGCTCCACAAGCAGTGCCAATTCTTGGATCTCATCAGCCCAGCTGAGGCCTTCGTTGTCCATGCCTCGTGTGCCAGTTTTTGCTGCTTGGACTGATGCATCATAATTTTCATCTTCTCTTCTTGGTAAAAAAGTTTAATGCGGAGAGACAGATTGGTTTGGCTTTTTTTTTACCCCCTAAAAGCTGTTTCTCAACATGGCATTATCCAGTTGCCTAATTGGTAAAGCGTTGAGCTCCCCGAACATGTATGCCCGTGTTCAAGTCCCCTGCCCTAATTTCCCGGAAAAAGAAAATGAAAAAAAGAAGCTGTTTCTGGACAAGGTAATTCAAGATGTTAAAACTCTATCCTTTTAGCTGCTTATCTTATGTAAGATCTTGGAAGAATTGGAGGGAGGATTTAAAGACGAATGATGGTTCAAGTTCATTAGATTATGGGGTGACACAATTCATAATCAAAATTAGCTTTTACTGGTCCCATTAAGTACACAAGTAGGTCATGAGTGTTTCTCAATAATGCAAAGATGGTGTTTAATTGCTTTGAGCATTTTGACCACATCTTTGATGATCATCAGTTCACCATGTAGTTTTCTATCTCTACATCATCATTACCATATTTCTTCTTTATCAAATCTTTCTCTAAAGGTAACAGACATTCCATCCCCATTATTCAGAAAAAGGGGAATTGGATTCTCATCAGGACTTTAGCTGGTTTAATTTATGATTTAATATTGGTGCCCATTGTTGGTTGGAATTAATATGTTTGCGATTTTTTTATTTAAAATTTAAAAATAAAAAAAAAACATTTCTTTTTAGTTTTTATTACCTTTTGGACCTTTCCATTGAATGCCCACTTATTGTGAATAAATGATGCTCAGCAAAAAGCATTCTCATGTCCTAATATGAGCTTCAGTGGCCACCAGTGTGTTTGCACGTGTAGGTTGTGGCACATGTTTGGAGTCAATTAGCTATTCAATAGAACCTGTGAAACATTATGAAACTATGAAAGCACCTCCAACAGACTCTTAAAAATTAAGCTCTCCAAATTTGCCGCATCAGTATTTTTTAATAGTCACATAAATATTTTTCATAGCCACGTCAGCATTTTAGAGTCTCTAAATTTTAGCTATCGCATGTACTTCAATGGTACATTTTCGCTCTCTAAAAATATTAATATTTTAATATTTTTAAATTTTAAAATAAAATTTATTTTTTAACTTTTTCCTAACGACTATATTTTTCATGATATATAAACAACCATTGTTTCATCTCATCATTATTACATTCATCTCAATTTATTCTAACAAAATATCAATTCACATATCTTTCAATCTCAAAAAAATTGTTTGGTTAACCAATATAGTCGTTAAGGCACTGTTTGGGTTAGCCAAATAGTACCTAAAACTGCTATAATGTCAATAGGAATATTGAAAATTTTGAAAAAAAAAAAAATTTCAATTTTTTAAAACTTTTTTTTGCCCAAAAAAGCCTTTAAGGCACTGTTTGTGCCAGCCAAACAGTACTTTAACGACTTTTTGGTTCAATTATTTTGAGGAAAAAAAAAAAAAGAGAAACCACCAAAGTAAGCCAAAAATCTGAATTTTAGCTTTTATTTTAGCCAAACATACCCTTAGAAACAATATGTAATGTTACCAATTTTTCCTATTTTATATTTTCTGAAATTTATTTGATTTTTCTGAATTATTTTAATCATTTCCTCGTTTTGCGTGCCACGCGGGCCCCGAAGGGCGTTTTGGTCATTTTCTTGTGCCGAGGATTTTAGAAGTGTGTTTTTAATCATTTTAAGTCAATTAGAAGTGACAGTATCATTTTCAGAATTTTTTCAGAAGTCGGGACGATTTCCGGATTCAAGAACTTCTCCCGGTTTTCTCATCTTAAGTGAGGGGCATTATCAACATTTCACATGTATGTATGCCGTATTAGTGGTATTAAATAGAGGGTGATATTTTATGGCATAGTTGAAGTTATAAAGAAGTTTAATGGGCATTTTTGTCATTTTGGCTTCATGGACCTACCTAGAGAATTCTAGAATCCAAAATGGTAGCTTCATTTTGACCCATTCTTTTCTTTCCCTTCATTTTTCAGCAGACATGCTCTCTCTCTCTATATTACTCTCTTCCGTCTCTCTAGAATTTCTTCATACTATAAGAAGATTTGGTTTAAGCCGGAGTTAACAAATTATAGATCATTACAAGGGTTACGTTTTGGTACCAGTATTGCAAGCTTTTGGTGGGATATGAGTTTGGATCTTGGAGCTTGGGTTGCTATCTTGAGGTAGGGGGAGTCTAAACTATGAATTCTTATGGTTTTAGTGAGTTTCCTATGTGTTCTTTACATGTAAATCTTGTTGGTGTGAGCATGTTTAGTTTTTTCAAGTATTGAATTTTGAAGCATGATTTATTCTTGATCTACATGATTGGTGATGTAAATATGATCATATATCTTAATTGTGTAAGATAAAAGAGTGAGCTCAACAGCTCAGTAGAAAGAGCCTAAAGTACATTATTAAAAATCCTGTGAGCCACAACCAAAGAAGAATATATCACGAAAAGGGATCATGGGAATACAAGCTATAGCATCATACATGAATTTCACAAATTCAAGAATTTGGAGACGAGCCAGTAAATGATGTGCATCCATGGACATTGATGTAGTTAGGAATTCATTTCATTTTATTTATATTAAAGCTATGTATATTTTGGCCATGGAGGCCTCATTCTTATATTTAATTCTTTAGAAATTGATGTTTCGATGTAAACGTTTATAATGTAAAGGAACATGTATTTATTGAAACTTCTCAAGTATTTGGATTCATGTAAGGCCTTAAGGCCATAATTTTCAAATAAAATAAGACTATGTAAAAAAAAAAATTCATGATGAATGGGTAATGAATGGAGTTATGTTTTGATCAATTGTAAATGTCTTTCAATTATATATGCCATGTTTTATTAACGTGAATTTGGGTTTGGTTGCACATCAAGTTGTTTATTAGGTTCGGCTCACTAAGAGTCCAGGGTTCTGGACTATCAAGCTGCATATAGCAGTTATCCAGGGCCTGTCGACCGGCTAACAAAGAGAACCAGCCGACCAACAGAACCATCCGAGGTCATTCCAGAGAGTTCCATGGTGAGAGGCCTTGTTTCGGCTCGCTAACCTCACCATCAGCCGACCAAAACTCCAGGTTCAGAACGGTTGAACCTTTCCTTCAGAACGGCTGACCCTTTCCTTCGGAACGGCTGACCATGCAGGTCAGACCGACCGACCAGGTAGGTCAGCCGAACGATTAACCGTGTCAGACCGACCGACCAACTGAACGATTAACCGTGTCAAATCGACCGACCAGGTAGGTCAGCCGAACGATTAACCGTGTCAGATCGACTGACCAGGTAGGCCAGCCGAATGATCATACTCTGTCAGCCAACCGACCATGTGCCAAACGATTATGCTCCGTCAGCTGACCCTTCCTCTTTAACCTGTGCATTTGACCCACTTTGTAAGGTTGTGTCTTAGAGCATTTTGGACAATGGATTGACTCGTCTGACAGTCATGGACACAGGAAATGGATTGTATGACTTAGTTAACCTCGGGTTCGAGTAAGGACCCGGTTAACGGTTTGGACCCCCGGGTTCGGGTAGTTACACAGTATTCTGGTTACGTACAGTGTTCTGGCCGGAATTTAAAAAATAAAATAAAACAAAAATGGGCTCACAAAAAGTGAGCCCAATTGCCTTCCCAATCTGGTTTTCTAGCCACTTTTCCTATATTCCATTGGAGCATGCAATCTCCAAAAGCTACTCCATTTTCACCAACCAAAGCACTAATGGAGCTGCTCTAATAGAAGTAGAATTAGTTATTGAATAAAACATTATTATAAAGGCTAAGATATTTTGATTTTAGGAAAAATAAAATAAAAAATAGCCCCTTAATTATAGGGTAGACCTTAAATAAAATTTACAATGTAAAACAGCTAAAACATTGTGAAAAGTTGTTTTATATATAGGCCTCTCTCCAAAATCTGAATGTAAATGATTTCTGTAAGCCAAAAACAAACCCTTCAAGGGACTTATAAGTACTGTATTATATTAAGTGTTAAAATTAAACTCTATTGACCAATGTCCCTCTTTAGGTCTCTAAACATGAGAACTTTGCCCTTTTTAGTGACCTCAATCAGATGATTACCATAGTTTTGGATCCAATATATCCAAACACAATCCAAACAGTATGGTGAATGAAAATATGATTGTGGAAACAATTTTTATTAGATGATATGATCAATTTTATCACATAGTGACACATTATAATAACATGATATCCTCAGCTCACCTAATATATTTGTCAAATGGTAATTCCAAAAGTACATAATCATGTACTATATTTACTAGCTTGGTGACACATTTAGCTGGAATGATTCATGACAAATACTGGTAGCTTCTGTACTTGGCACAAGTAATATATATAATTTGCTCCCTTAGATGCAACTAGAGGGTTTTCTTCTTCATTCTCCGGTGGGTGAGTGAGAAGGGTTTCCAAACAGTTTCTCTTGCCTGTCAAGTGGATCTGGTTTGTTCCTTTTTCTTGGTAAGTCAAGTCCTGGTTTCTTTGGTGTTATGGAGGACGATCTTGCCTCCATTCTTGACTTCTATAAGCTCTCTGCTGAAGAAGAGAAAGAGATTGTTATTACGGACGTCGTGGCTCAAGAAGGGGCTAATTGGTGTGCCAATGTTTGGTTGGGAATCTTTTTACTACAAAATCGGTGAAACTATTTGGTATGATAAAAGCCCTAAGTGAAGCCTGGGATTGTGATGGTCTTCAAATGTATCATATTCGTGATCTGATGTTTCAGTTTCTAATTCCTAGTGCAGAGGATACTGAGCGGATTATGCGCAACCGTCCGTGGAGTTTGATGAGAATTTGCTTTCGATCCAAGCATGGTCGCCGTCGTTCGCTTTTAAGATCTCCTTTTTTTTCATCGTGCCTTTTTGGATTCGAATTACCAATGTTCCCATCCAATTAACAACTGACGAAGTTGCTTGTGATATTGTCTCCTCTTTTCCGTTCTGTGATCATGTGGAAGTTCGTGATTTGGGTCTTAACGATGGTGGACGCTACCTTCGGATTCGAGTGGGTGTAGATGTCTCTCAATCCTTTCGCCGCGATTTAAAAATTCTTCATGGTGGGATTCGTCAGTGGACTAAATTTCGCTATGAACGTCTGTCGTCCCTTTGTTATAATTATGGTCGAGTGGGTCATGAACTTCGATCATGTCCGTGGAAGTTGGACGATCCCATTAACGAACGTCAATTTAGTTTGTGGTTGAAGGCAACGGGTAAAGCTGGTCGTCTTCGCACTAATAAGCCTCATTCATCTTCTAAGAGTTTCTCTCATTCTACCAATACACTTTATCCAGCCGTCCATCCTCCGGTGCTGGCACAGTCCCCCGGCGACGTCAATAGTGGTACCCGGGCAAGTCTTGATACAAGTATTCCTCTTTTTTGTCCTCCCCTGTAGGATGCTAGTCCTGCACCCCTTGATCTGACAACTGAGCCTCAAAAGTCTTGACCCACAGCTCGAGGACAAGTTGTGCCTACTTCAACCGCAGGTGCTTCTCACG